CTCTCATCCCGCTCCCGCCGCTCCGTCCTGCCGGCCGCCCCCGCCGAGGGCGGCTCGTGAAGCGTTAAAGTGCTCCACAGCTGCCCCAGAGACGCGCGCACGCCTCCCTCGCAGCTCAGCGCCGGCGGCAGCGCGAGGCAGGCCAGCGGCACCAGAACCTTGCGGGTAGCCCACTTGGGCGAGCCGGGGCCCCAGGAGGGGTCCCGCAGCCGGGGGTTGCGCCGCCGCGCCACCTCCTGGAACACGTGGACCAGCGCCGCAGCGCGCAGCTCCCCCAGCTGCCGGGCACTCAGTTCGTCCAAGCGCAGCTGCGGAGCAGTCAGGCGCCACAGCCAGCGCACCGCCGCGGGGCCGTCCGGCTCCGGCGCCGCCGGCCCCGGCCCCGGCTCCGGCCCGGGCGAGCGTGTGCGGGGCCTTTCGCGGCGGCGCCGGCGGTCGGGGCCGGGGCTCTCCGCGCGGCCGCCCTCGCGGCGTGGCGACCGGCGGCCCCGCGGGGGCGAGGGCGAGCGGGGGCGGCGCGGCTGGCGAGAGCGATCCCCGTCGTCAAACGCGTGCCGTGAGTCGTTTGGCATGTCGGTGCGGATCAATGAGGGGGCCCCCACGCCCGTGTGCTGCGGCTCGTTCCTTTGATGACGCGCCTGCTCGCCCTGCTCTCTTGGCTGCTCATGCTGCCGCTCTTGCTGTCGCTCTTGCTGCCGCTCTTGTCGCGGCTCTTGCTGCCGCACTTGCTGCCGCTCTTGCTGCCGCTCTTGCTGCTGCTGCTGCTGCTGCTGCTGCTGCTGCTGCTGCTGCTGCTGCTGCTGCTGCCTCTCCCGTTCATGAGCCGCCTGCTGCTCCGCCTGCTGCTCCGCCTGCTGCTCCGCCTGCTGCTGCTGCTCCCGCTCCTGCTGCTGCTTTAGCTGCTGCTGCTTTAGCTGCTGCTGCTTTAGCTGCTGCTGCTCCTGCTGCTGCTGCTCCTGCTGCTGCTGCTGCTGCTCCAGCTGCTGCTCCTGCTGCTCCTGCTGCAGCGTCTGCAGCTGCTGCGGCTGCTGGTGTTGCTGCTGCTGCTGCTGCTGCTGCTGCTGCTGCTGCTGCTGCTGCTGCTGCTGCTGCTGCTGCTGCTGCTGCTCATGCTGATGCTGCTGCTGCTCATGCTGATGCTGCTCCTCCTCGTGCTGTTGCTCCTGCTGCTGCTGCCCTTCCTGCTGCCGCGACTGCTGCCCCTGCTGCTGCTGCTGCTGCTGCTGCTGCTGCTGCTGCTGCTGCTGCTGCTGCTGCTGCTGCTGCTGCTGCTGCTGCTGCTGCTGCTGCTGCTGCTGCGTGGGGTCCGCGCCTGCCTGCTGGCAGCCTATGGCCGCCATGAATGCCGCGCGCTGCTCAGCAGAGAGCGCCAGCGCCAGCCTGGCAGCCACTCGCCCCAGCAGAGCCTGCACCTCGCTCCCCATCCCCGCTGGCAGCCGTGACAGGCACGCGTCCGCAGCGGCCAATATGTGCGGCGGGGGCGCCGCCCCGCCCGCTACTGCCGTGGCGTGTGCCATCAGCGGCCGTAGCTGGTGCAGGGCGCGGCCCTCCAGCAGCTGCGCAAGGCGCTGCAGCAGCGCGTGGCTGGAGCCGTCCCCCGAGTCGCCCAGCACTTGGGCCATGCCCTGGCTCACGCCAAAAGCCTGAGAGGTGAGCAGGGCGGAAACAGGGTACGACGCGCCAATGCGCAGCGCTGAGCACAGCAGGGAAGGGTGCGGCCGCAACGCACGCGAGCCTGTCGTTGAGTAGCAGCAGGACTGGGCCACTCTGGTGATGTCGTGCACGAGCGGACTGACAGCACGGGATCTTCCAGCCTGAGCAGCCTGGGACGGCATGCCGAAGCCCGCCAGCCCACCTCTTCCGGCGTGAGCAGGGGTGCGCCGCCGTACTCGGCCTCCTGCTGCCGCTCCAGCTCGTGCCACGCGTCGCCCCATTGCTGCGAGCCGTCTGGCAGGGAGTCCAGCAGGGCGCTGACGGGGACAGTCTGGCCGCCATGCTTTAGCAGCAGGTGGCTGGCTGCTGGGTCGACCGCGCCTGCACGCGGCATGCACATGGCGCGTTGTCATGATGGCAGTTACAACAGCACTCGGAAGCGAAATGCTGGGTGATGTCCATTCAGAGCCCTCTGCAGAGCGGCGGCGCCGCAAGGGGCAAGCCCCAAGCCCAGGCCAGCGCTGCACTATGGGCAGCACGGGCGCGTCGTCGCGACCTCCACCCACCCGCCACTGTGCTGATGTGAGCGCCGAGGGCATGGCCCAGGGCCAAGCTCCCCTGCTGCCCGTGTTGCCCGTCTTGGTGCCAGGCCACCACTGCGCCCTGAACACACGAGTCAGGCGCGGCGCGCGCGCCCAGCTGCGACAGCCAGACCCCGGCTTGCAGCAGCTGCGCCACCTCGTTGCCCGCCACGTACACAGCACCCAGCACCTGGGTGGACGCCCAGGGTTGGCTGCTGGTGGGGACCTTGCGCGAACTTGTGTTGTGCGCCTGAAGATTGTGCTGGGGTAAGAATTGTACTGCCGCCCAGTTTCAGGTGGCGCCGGGTAGGGGGACGAAGCACTCAAACACAGCACGCTGCCGTGCGCTGGGGACGCGCAGCACAGCAGGCGCGGCCAGCGGCCCACCCACCGGGTCAAGAGACATGTTTCAACGGTGTCCAATTCAACGCCCTAGACCCCCTTCATCGCAGGTAACTTCCGACATTGCTGGGCACCGCCTGGCAAGTGACAACGTCTGATCTGCGCGACATTTTTGATGTGTGAGACATGACGAACCGCGTCATGTAATTGCAAAGGTTTCACGATGCATAATTTGGTAAGAGGTTGGCTGACCCACTCAAGCGATGCAGCACGCCCGCCCGCCGGTGAGCCGAGCGGCACCCGACAAATGCACCCGACAAAATGCTCTGCTGCGAAAGCCAAAGGCCCTGTTGATCGATCCAAATGATGCCCAATTCGCGAAAGTGTAGTTTTGGTGGATGAAATCGCATGCAGAGGTGGAGCCTTGCGCCTCTTCCCCGTTGTTCCCCTCCTTGATGGGCTCCTCTCCTGCCCATTTTGCATTAGCTGCTGTTGAGTAAACACGTTTGAGGGAGAGCAGCTGTGGAGCAGCTGGGACACAGCAGTGTTTGGGTTCATAGCTAGAGTGCACATGAGCTGTGCATTCTTCTTGTTCTCAGACAAGTGTAGCAGCGTCCTTTTTGCAACACCCACCCCCCACCCAGGATGCGAGGGGTGTCAAGCACTCTTTCCTCGTAGAGGGCCTGTTGGGTAGCTTGGACCTGCTGCATGCCAAGCAGGGTCCAGGGTGCCCTTGGATGCAGGGTGCCTGTTGGGGGGCCTGTGGCCAGGCAGGCAGCAGGCTTAGGCTACCTGATGGGCTCCTCTCCTGCCCATCTTCCATTAGCTGCTGTTGAAATACGTTTCTAGCACTGCCCGCCGAGGCGCCTGAGTGAGGTGCACCCGAGCACGCGGCAGGGCATCGAAATGATATGGGTACAACTTCAGCCCTAATTCTGTCCTCCTGCTGAGGTGTGCTGCTGCTTACTGTTGGCATGCGCAGAATCGCAAGCCTGCAAATGAAAACCGAGACGCACCTGCCAGCGCCTGGCGATTGTCTGCAGTGGCCGTGACGTGCGGGAGGACGGCGGTGCCGCCGGCCGCAGCTTTGGCGCGCGCTATCAGCGGACGCAGCAGATGCAGGGGTCGGCCATCTGACCGCTGCGCGATGCGTGCCAGCAGCACGAAGCAGGAGTCGTCGTGGCCGGCCTCCGATAGGGATTCAAACCGTCCGGAGGGTGAGTGTAGAGTG